TGGGAGCCTGTGACCTTGTGCGTGTGGGCAGCCGGGAACCCCCCTGGGCTTTGTTCTGGGGAAGCCTGACCCCGATCCAGGGAAGAGCTGAGGGTTCGGAAGAGGTTAAGGGACTCAGCAGCGGCTTCCCTCCACATCCACCAAGCGCTCGCTCATGACGTCCCCGCACTGAGCCCCACATGGGCACTGACCCATTTCACAGACGAGGACACCGAGGGGCCGGGAGGAGAGGGAACGTCCCCGGGGTCATGCCGCTGGCACACGGCGGGCTGGGAATGGACACCAGTGCTTCTGTTCTCAGCCGGGACTCTCTGTGGCCCGGCTCTGAATCTGCCCCCCGCCCCCACTCCCCGCCGTGTGTCCTACCCAGGGAGCTCCACTGCGTGGCCCTCGCCAGCTCCCACGCCTGTTACACGTGAACCTGTGAGGTCCCCACTCCAAGGGAAACCGGGCAGGAGGGACTCAAGGGCCCCAGCGCCCAGGGGAATGTGGTCGGAGCAGCGACGGGCACCGGGGCGGCGCCCCCTCCACTCTCCTCCCCTCCTTGCTGCTCGGGCCCCATGGCTGGTACAACGTGGACAGCTTCTGTGCTGTCCCCAACCAGGCAAAGGGCAGGGCTGTGGCTTGTTCACCTCTGTGTCCCCAGCAGGGTCAGCACCGGCCTGACCCACAGGGGACTCAAGTACGTGTTGAATAAAGGTCCTCTTGGCTCTGATGTTCCAGAATACCCCATGGTTCTAGAATCTTCCATACTTCTACGGCCAGTGGTCCTCCCTCAGGAGCACAGAGGACCATTCCCAGAGCATGCAAGGCCCCCGGGGCACCCTCTGGCATGAAGCCGGCTGGGCCGGGGCGGCCAGGCCCCTGCCCCACTAAACGGGGACGTCATTGGAAGCCCCCACCTGGCCTCAGCACTCAGCAACGCCAGAGCGGGCGCGCAGAGCGAGCAGGAAACACTCAGTGCTCAGAGGCCGGAACCAATCACCCTCTTAATAGACTTTCCCACTGGAGCAGAGCGCGTGGCTTCAATTTATCCCCAGCTGGAAAACAAGCACACTTAAAGTTACGCCACATCATAACATCTAGAGGTCGGCTGTGCAGGGCCAGCCGAGGAACCGAGCAGGGCACACACCTGGTGCAGGCACATCCCCCCGCCCTCCCCTGGCCCCGACTTACCTCCTCCGAGGTCCTGGGTTTCCATGTGGACCAGGTCGGGGTCGGTGTCCACCCCAGACACAGCCCTGGAAGAGAGCGGGCTGGGGTTGGCGCTGGGAATGGGGACCCCAAGCCCCTCTCACGGTGCCTGCGTCAATCCCTGAACCCCAGGTAGCCATGTGGCCCCGGGGGCTGGGGCCACGCTTGCTCTGTGGTCCTCCCCCTGCTCCTGGGGAGGGAGCCAGAACCCAGGGTTTGCTAGGCATCCTTCTTTTTCAAGTACTCTTCGTAGCAGACTCTCCTTTACCAAAGACGCTCACGTTCCTTGTATCTGTGTTGTTGTTTTGTTTTGGTTTGATGATCAAAACCCCCGTAGGAGGCTGGGCAGGCCTTGGGGGCGGCAGGGGCCCGACGAGCTGACTCTAGCCGTTAGAGTTAGAGCACAGACGTCGGGCCAATACGACTATTAAAAATCCAGCCGCCAGAACGACCCTTCTCGTGGACACTCACCTTTCCCAGTAAGCAAAGTGAGAGTCAGCATGGGGAGTCCCTTCCCGCGGCCGCTCCGCCCAGCAGGCTGCCTTCCCTGTGGCCCCCTCTGGGCCACCGAGCTGTCCTCCGTGGAAGGAGCACTGGGTCTCCGGCAGCCCCTTCCCCAGCGCTGGTGAGCGCCACGCCCCCCCCTCCCCCAGCTGGTCCCTTCCAGTTCCCAGCTCCAGGGTCCAGGGGTCCCCAGGTGCACAGGGAGAGTCCACAGAGGGTCTGAGGGCCGGGCACCCCACAGAGGCTCCGTGGCACAAGCCAGCGGGGCGTCCCCTGCAGTCCACTGATGTTGCAAACCATGGGCTCCAGCATCCGTCACTCTGCCCCTAAATACTATTTCAAGGTGAGGTTTGCTTTAGGCTTTTGTGCACAGACCACTTGTGAGCTCGGAGGACCAAGGTCTCCTGCCCAACATTTCTCTCTCTTTTCTGAGTCAAGTGACGCTGTTCCCTTCTCCAGGGTCACCGACAGGTCCTCGGGCCCTCAGCCGGGCAGCTGGGATTTTAGCCTTACAAGCCTGCACCTGCAAAGTGCAGTAATGATAGCAGCTCATTCACGCTCTCCCTCCTTCCCTCCTTCATTCACCCCTCCCTCCCTCATTCACTCACTCACTGATTCATATCCTCCCTCCCTCCTTCATTCACTCCCACTTATTCATTCATTCATTCACTCACTCACTCCATCACTAATTCGGTCACTCACTCATTCACTCACTCACCAGCTCACCCCTGCACCGACTCACTCACCTACTCAGTCTGTGAGTCCCACTCACTCACCTGCCTTCTCCACTGAGCGGCACCCCCACCACCCTCCCGTGCCCCCTGGCTCTCCCATTGGAGCACCCCATCCCCAAGCCCCAGGCCCTGGACCAGGCAAGGGCCCACCCAGTGGGTTGAGGTCCCCGCCCAGAACCCCTTGGTCATGGGTTCTGGCGACCACGCGAGGCTGCATGCACGTCACCTCAGACACAGCCTGGCTCCCTGCAGGGAGGGCCAACCCTGTTTGTTGAGGTCCCCAAAACTGGCGTGTGGGAAGGTCTTTGGTCCGCTGCCTAGAAACAGCAGCCATGTGAGATGGCCCAGGGGCAGGCAGGTGCGTGGAGAATACCTCGGGGACACGGGGGGTTGGTCCGCACTCCTACGGACGTCACGGGAAGCCTAACGCAGACGGTTCCTGTAAACCCTCACAGGCGCCATGCCAGGCCCGTGGCGGGAAGGGCTGTCTTCTCCCTTCTGCCTCCCTCCACCACAGAGGCCCTGCCGCCTGTCCCACCCCCCCGGGCAGGTGCCGAGCTGGCGGAGGAGGAAGGCTGAGACTTTGTGAGTCAGCTCGGGCCTGAGCAGAGAAGCAGACATGGGAAGTCCGCGAAGCACAGCGGCCAACGGCACGGCCGCTGGCCGCAGGCGGAGGGCTCCTTGCCGGCAACGTGGTCCAGGACACGTGCCCTAGCCTCTCCGGGCCTCAGTTTCCCCCTCTGTCATGTGAGGGGAAGACAGTCAGGGTCTGTGTTCTCACTTGACACGATGGCGCATTCGTTCTGGTACCTGGTAGATGGTCAGCATCCACAACGTGGCAAGTCCACAATGTGGCTGCTACGACCTCGCTCCACGGCCGCGGAGGCCAGGGGGAGGGCAACACACAGGTGCCCATGGTGGGCGCAGGACGCAGCGGGCCTCCCGCCCCTGGGCTGTGCCTGCCGGGGGCCCCACGGCCAAGCTGATGAGCTCGCTCGCCGGGTAGCCTCCCAAAGCATGAAGGGGTCCCAGCCTCAGACGGAAGGCGGGCGTCGGCCGTCCCGCTGTCGGTTCGAGGACAAAGCACATCTTAGAAATGCTGGCAAAACAGCATTCTTCTCCGCTTACAAGAGGGGGGGCTTCTGCCTGTCACCACGTTCCGGGAAAGGTTCCTGGGCCCCAGCGGCCAAGCGTCTGGCCCGATTATCTCTCATGCATAACGGCTCAGAGCAATTTGAGAAACTTGTGGGAGAAATGATTTGATTTGCCCGAGATAATACCCTATTTGAGTTAGCGCTAATTTACCGCGGGCACGTTTCCCTCCCCGTCCCGAGAGATCTCCCTGTGCCTGGCCTGGCCTGGGACAGATGGCGGGCCAGCACCCGCCATCCTGCAGACTTCCCAGGCCCTCCTGTCGGCAGATCCTGCCTCCTTGCCCCTCCCCACCCCCTGGGAGCCCCTGGGGCCAACAGTTCCCACCAGTGAGGAGGCCGGTGCTTGACGTGGCCTCAGGCTTCCCAGGAAGGCACTGCGGGATGCCGTGTGGCGGGATACGTGACCTCTCCCGCCAGCAGAAGGCACGCATACCAGCCGGCAATATCCCAGAGTTAGAGACGCGGGCCTTTCGGCCACAAGTCAGGAAACTAGCTCCTTGCCGTGATGCGCATGAAGACAGGCAGACGCGGAGGAAGGGGCTGGAGGGCTGTTTCCACGGTGCTTCTCTGCTGGGGACACAGGACTGTGGCCCAGGAGGAGGTTTGTTATACACACCAGGTAAGATAGGGAAGGGATAGGAGCGTGTGCACACGTACAGGTGCAAGAAACAGCAATTTGGTCGGAAGAACGCGCGTGCAACTGAACGTCTCCAGAGGTGGTTTAGGCAGGAAATGGGGCCCGGGGCCAGCGCTCTCACGGCCACTCCCTCGGCCGCCGCCCCGCCCCGCCAGCAGGGGCTTGTCCCCCGTGGGCCTCGCTCGCTCCACAGACTGACACCAGTGCAACGAGACTAGAACATGAGACGAGAACGCTGCTCAGACTGATTGCTGAGCGGGGCCCCAAGAGACAACACCAGTGTGGGAGGGGAGCCCCCGCATCTGACATCACGCAGGGAGGGAGAGCAGGGCCCAGGCAGGCCGGGGAGGCTGCACTGGAGGGGGGCAGTCCGTCAGGGGCTGAGTTAGGACCTGGGGCAGGAGTGTGGGGGGAGGGGTGGTGAG